GCTCAAGACCAGCAAACTCCTAAAACATCGGCTTTTATAGAAGTAGTCACACTTGCTGATGATCAATTGATCAAGGGCATTGGATTAGCAGCACCTGACTGCTACTTAGCCTCTTCATACCTATGGAAGCCGTAAGGGTGTACATAATTTTTCACAATGGCTTCTCCATTTTGGCTTTCTTTTTGTAAAATAAATGATGACATGGTGTAATATGTCATGTGTTGTTGTTCATCTGCAGTTGTATTTACCTACTTTGGAGAACTGCCAAGGTCCAGATGATTTTTATTATGTCCTGATATTTAAAACCATAGAACTCAAAGAAGGTGTACTTTCTTTTTCACACGACTGTCACTTGTAGCAGTGGATCTCATAACAAGTAATTATAGACAAAATATGGGGAAAGGTGGGGAAAATTATTCTCACTTCTTCAGATTTATGTCTGAATTGAAACTATGTTTTTCCGTGTTATTAGCATTTTTCAAAATTTTCTAATGCAATCAGCCAAAGGTGTTCAAAATATGTGTATCGCATAACATTTTATCCAAAACTATATATGCCAAAGTGAAATATATTCAGATTTGTGCATTTCATTAAAATTCTATTCTTACATTACGGAAAACTGCCTAGTGAAAATGTGTGTGTTAGTCAAAATTTGTACCAAAACACATACTTCGGAAAAAAAAGTACTTGCAAATGCCTACAGATTTTCAAGCAAACTGATAAATTACAGCAAAAAAGATGAAATTTATTAAAGGATGGGAAAGGAGAATGTGAGTGTAATTACATTGGACAGATTTATTTATCTCTACCCATGAGAGACAGTCAATAGAACATAAATATATCTGTGTTGTGTATTGTACGTCTAATTTAAAGTCATTATATTAGAATCGTGGAACACCAGCATTGGAATGAAAAGGAGATAGCTATGGCATTGCCTAGGCTGATTTTGCAAAGCCCACTCTGTTGCTGCCCAGATCAAAGACTGAGTAATATTCCTTAAGGAAGACATCACCCAGGATCCACAGAGGTTGTCCATTCTGAGATGCAACATACGTGGTCTCAATTGCAACTACACAACTTCCACCGTCCTGCAGAAGGAAAACGTGCTTTTAGTTCCACCTTTACTGAAGAGGAAATGTCATTCAATGCTTTTGATCGGCTAAGTGTGAAATCATGCTGCGATTAAATTGCATGACACAATTGCAGATGTCCATTTCTAATTCAGCTCTCTGCAACCATGTGATTGTGAAAATGCATTTGACTGGGGCTTGTTGTCCAATCCCATTTCTGTCCCTACCCCACCCCACCGCTGCCACTTCTCTTTCTTCTGCTTCTTCCATCCCTGGAGATAAAAGACCCTTCTCTGCCCTCCCCTGTTTTTCTTGCTGTAGGTGGTGACAAATCAAGGGAGAGAAGGAGAGAACACAGACCTTCTCACCTGTTCCTGCA